GAATTCTGGGAGTTGGAGTCCACTCATCTTAAAGTGGCCAAGTTTGGACAACACTGTCCTACACACAAGCAGAGCAATCACTGCATTCCAACTATGTCAAGAACCCAGGCAGCCCAATTAAAATCCTTCTAGTTAGCTTTATCATCTCTGTGAAAAAAATGAGCCTGGCATGATTTCTTCTGTATGCATAAGTAGCATACATGGCACAATTGCCTCATCCAATCCCAGTCTCTGGGTTCAAGCTCACTATTTGTTTCTCTACCACCAGGTACACACAGAGAGGAGTTCTATACAGCAATCTGCAATCATGGCTAGAGCTACTGTGAAAAGTACCAGACTGTAAAAATGCCATTAAGATATCCTCCCAGCATCTTGGCCAGCTGAGATTTTTAAACAGAAACATGAGATATGTAGGTATGTATGTTTTTATTTATTTAACAAATTTATATGGCTGCCCAACTCACACACAGTGACTCCAGGCAGCTTACAGAAATCAGACCCCAAATACAAAACCCACTACCCCACCCCACCCCCCTGGTGACAACAACACATTCAAACTAGCCATTTGATGGGGTCCGTATCAACCTGGGATCCCCAGCCTTGCTGGCAAAACCATCTCTTCAGGCCTTTCAGAAGAGTAGCAAGGTGGGGGCCAGTCCTATCTCCAGGGATATGATGTTCCATGGGGGAGCCATCACGGAGAAGACCCTTTTTCTCGGTCCCACCAGATGAACCTCCTTAATGGGGGGGCATAACATACCCTGTTGCACAAAGGCCCTCCTGGCCATGACTGCCACCTGCTCCTCAAGCAGCTAGGTTAGTACTTAAATGTGGGAACTCTGGGAATATCAGGATAAAAGCTAAACTAAGATATATATATATAAAAAAAAAGCCTGAATGAAGTCAATAGCAAATCACTTCTATACTTGTTGCCAAGTAAACTACATGGACATATCCATAAAATCACCAGGAGCCTGACTTAAAGAATTAACTCAAAAGTAACCAACTGCAGCAATGCTATTTCCTAGATGTACAAAGATAATGAGAGAATATTATGATGGCAAGAAGAAGTGATTCAACCAAAGACTGATTTTTCAAAACTTTGAGAAAAAAAAGCGTTGCTTTATGAAATTTTTTTTCTCCAATCAAATTATTTCATTTTTCAGAATATTCATTTAGAGGTAAACATCATAATTTACTTATTCTGATTAACCATTCAGATTCACCTCTTTCCTTCTGAAATTATGAATCTGCTTTAAGTAAGAGTATTTGGGTTTTGAAAGGCATTATTATTTATTTTGGTACAAAGTATCCATTTCAATTCGAGCAGCTCACTAAAATAAACATTACTTGCTATTTAGGGCCAGCATTTTTATATTTCCATTTTCTTAATATCAGGATTTGCAGGTTTATTTTGCAGGCACTAAGATATGTTGAGATCTATTTGGATCAATTGATTAAATATTCAGAGTCCTTCAAAAAAAATCCAAGCATGTCAACATTATATTGTTCATGCTAAAACAGGTGTTTTGAAAATGCAACGCCCATAAGCCATCATGCTGTCCTTTGTAAAAAAAAAAAAAAAAAGGAAAGGAAAGGAAAGGAAAGGAAAGGAAAGGAAAGGAAAGGAATGGAAAGGAAAGGAATCTATACAGCTAAACAAATAAAATCAAACCCAATTCAATTTAAATATATCTCTCCATATAAAGAAACTGGCTTAACAAAAAAGTTTTGAAGGCCAATAATCCAGTGTATTTGTTCTAAGCAATTCATAAACAGCAAATGTTTCAGTTCACCACTCACTTGATATGATTCTGGTTTGTTGGGCCAGAAAGGAAAATTGGAATACCCTAACAACTACTCTATAACTTCAAACCGAGCAGTTTCCATAGAAGGCATGAGTTAGATCCAGAAAGAAGCAGACAGAAACAAACTTTCCTGCCATTTCTATCCCAGCCACAACCCAAAGCTCACCAAAATGTTGTTTCAGAAACACAAACCACAAAGGGGAAAAACATGCTGCACATTAGAAGCGGGCACAGGATGCCTAGCGTCTTAATCTTACACACATGGAATTCTACCCTTTTTAATACGCTGTTCAGAAGCAGACTGCATGAGATACATAACTCCTGAATGAAGTTCAGAGCTACTCCAGGCTCAATGCCAGTAATAGCTTCCGTTATTAAACACACACAAATTATTATAACAGCCCAGCCTTGTTTCTGCAGAACTGGCTGCCTTTAGCAAACAGAATATATTTTCCCCTAATGGTAAAACACTCAACAGTACTCATTTTGTGCAATTCAAGCCCTTTCACAAAGAAGTACATGTATATTTTTAATGAAGCTTACCTAAGCAATCTCCCTTACGCGTCACAGTTACGACTCTACCATACCCTTAAAAGTCATTCCACACCAAAAGACATCAAATTTGTGCAGTTCGTCTAGAATTCATCTGGATGCCATTAAAAGCCTTACTGTATATTTTGACAACAGAAACAGATCTGAGGACATTTTCATTTTTTGCGTGAAATCCCACAAATCTTATGCCTCAAACAGCTGCACTTAATAATGATTTGCTACTGTCACCCCATTTTCTCAATTCTTTCAACCACATCTCCTCTGCAATATACTGCTGCAAAGAAAAACATTATAGTTTTGTTCGGACACTATACAGAAACAGACAATTCTTAGAATATGATCTGTGCACTCTTATCTGTGAAATAAGACCCTTTGAACTAACTGGATTATTTTACTTTCTCTAGTCTAAACTGAACTTCATGTAGCATGCTACTGATGATTCACTGCTAACTTTTATCTTCAGTCTAAATGTAATATATGCTCCAAAGTTAAATCTGCAATGAGAACAGAATATATATAGCGCTCACTACTTGTGAATGAATGTTCATGTCAACATTAAGAAAACTTTCCAGCTGATAAAAACAGCACTCTAATCACCCCTCAGTATCACAGATTTCTATTCTTAACTTTTGGGATACATTGTATTTCAATACATCCCAAAAGTTAAGAATAGAAATCTGCTACTAGATTTATGTTGATCTGAATGATCCTGCAATAATGATAAAGTTTGGCAATTCTGAAAATTAATTTAACCATAATTTCTAGATTGTATTCTTTCTTCAGAAATAATCCTGGAATTAGTCTTAATTCATTTCAGCAAAGCACGTTCACATTTATTTGTATTCATTTGTCTTGTCATCAATTGGCTAATACCGATTATACAATTTAGTAGTCAAAACATTAGCTGCTTGCTTAAAGATCCCATTCAAGTACCATAAGGAAGACAAGCAATTTATTTTTATTTCCTGTGGAGGGAGAAAAGTTTTCTTAGTGCAAAACCTGTGATAGCTCAGGACAAAGCAGTTATTTTTACTGCTTGTTCTCAGCAAGTTTGAAGTTTGATCAAGACTTGAGCAGGACACAAGTTTCAATATGTCATAGGTTATCTTAAAACTGTTTTTGAGGGAGTTGAGAGTGGAAATAATGGCTGTGTGAAAGTGATAAACAAGGACACAAGAAACATACCTACATGTTACCTGTGGGATGGGCATATTCCAGGTTTGGATGTTATAGTTTTCTCTATTAAAACTCAAAGTTCTATCAACTAAAGCCAGATGAAAAAATTATGCAGTTAGAAAGGACTGAACCTGGGAATTTGCACTGAGTGCTTGAACCAAATGGATCTCATTATCTTCTTATCTACAGAAATCCGATCCTAGTTATCCTTCACAAGCATTTCATCTCAATGTTGGGGGCAAAAATAGAAATAATTTGTTGTATCCATTGTTTAAAAAATGATTCCAATATATTCAGATAATCCAAGATCTACAAGTAAAATCTTAATCTGCCTTCTACCCTTCACCCCCAATCCCACATTACATCTAAGAGATAAACCTTAGAACAGCCTGAAAATATATACAGTGCATTTAGAAAGTATTCAGACCCTTTGCAACAACACTTGAAATTTAGCTCAGGTGTCTCGCATTTCTTTTGATAATTGCTGAGCTGT